CTTTATACCAGATATTCAAGATGGATGGGATGGGCGGCACATTTAGCATGGATGGGAGTTTGGCAAAGACCTGCAAAATTTCAGTAGAGTAAAAAGAAAGGAAAAGACAGCTTTGGAGACCTAGATAGGAAGATATTAGGAAGCGCGTGTGAGGAGGCCATTGTGAAATGAATTCGTGTGGCTCAGGAGACGATGGGTTCCATAAAAGGCTGAGAATGTATAGACAAACTGAGAGACTACAAGCTTCTTAAGGAGGGATCTCCTCCACCTAGTCAATCTTGAGTTGCCAAAGAGTTTCATAATTTTATGAAACTTGTCCAATCCGTAATAGTGGTTTTATCATCTAACACGACGCAGAAACTACACCATGCTTCCTGTAACTCCCGATTTAAAATATCACAGTACCTGAGAAAACACTTATTACTTTAGAATGATACGACTCTGGGATATGCTCACTTTCTGACCATCTGAAAATTGATGTCCTCTGGGTTGTTGGGCCGTGTAGTCTGGTAGAAGTTTACCGACGTTTCGGAGGTCCTTGCTGCCTCCATCATCAGGGCGCCCTGATGATAAAGGCAGTAATGTCCTCTGAAACGTCGATAAACTTCTACCAGATTACACGGCGTAACAAACCAGAAGACAGCCATCTTCAGACTCACCGCCGTGAAAACCTCAAATAATATATTTCTGAACATCGTTGCAAAATTGTCTATGAAGGAAAAGTAGCCTATAACCTCCTACGACGGAAAGAGAGACTGGATACAGTTAAGTGCATCCAGTGTGAGTGTTTTTCTATGTAGGATTTCGGACCACTTGTTGTGATATTACCGAAAGGAAGTTCCGCGACGCAAAAAGCTTTTATATGTCATTTCAATGTTAGGTGCTGAGTCAGTTGGATATATTTTGCTAAAAGATGGGATAACACTTTGATTCTGAAATAATACCTTCGTTGAAACACATAATTAACAAAGAATAATATTGCCTTATCTTGATTTTACTCTGTTGTGAATAACGCTTTATACAGACAGAGGTAAAAGTTGCTTACATCTCTTCGAAACTTCACAAAATTATGTGAAAGATTGTTTAATTGTTTTCGTTTTTCAAGAGATCTTTAGTCTGCAAGTGAATATTAATTTTATACGAGAAACTTTAAGAGGAATATATATCTACAAATAATTTGAACATATTGGAAATAAAATGGAATATTAATTGAAATCTGCGTACGGATGTAATATCTGCCGAACGCCAGCATTTTGCGGACCACAGTTTTAACATAAATATCTCTGCTAGTGCAATTTCTTACTATAGGCAACACATTCTTATCACTACAGTTGTACTTTCCTTCACCAATTGAGAAGGCAAATTCCTCATTTTATTCTCCCATTTGCTCCTGACTTTATGTAGGTAAATTATTGGCCTTAGCGCATTGTAAACTTTTGAGGAAATTAATACACGTATTTTAGAATTTCCTTGGTAGGCTTGCATCCATAAAATAATAAACTTCATTGTCTCAAAGACTGAAAAGAAGAAAAATCAGCATCTTCAGAGGGAAATGTAAAGTTATCAAAATTTAAATCTAATGAGAATGAAAACGTTAAATATAAACTGAAAGTTTCATTTCAAGCAGTAGTGTAAATCTAATAAATGCATTTATATGAATTGTATTTATTGGATTTGTTAGACTTTTCTTTCACGTGTACAATCACGATTGTTTTGAAAAATTCACCAATATAGCCAACGTTTGAACATACACAAGATCGTCTTTATGTGTATTACGATTTCATGTCATACATTTTCATTCAAGTAGTGAATTAAAAGCTGATTTTTCACAGGATTTCTTGAAAATTTCCTAACTCAATTTATATGATAATATTGGACAATGCTTCATAATGTATATTTTATAAACGTAAGAGTCTTTTCGGTTTTTGAGTTCAGCGCATGAACACGATTGCACATTATATTGTAATAAATTATTTCAAGTGTTATTGCGTCCTGATAATAAATTCTTGAAAAATGCGTTATGGTGGTATTAATTGTGCTTTTAATTCTTCAGTTAATTTTTGAGTTGTGACAAAAAACAAATGTCTGTTTCGAAAGTGCCACTGGATAACAGACATACATTATCGAGAAAGATGTCCTTGAAACTGTCCAAATAAGGCCCTGTATTTAAATGTAGACATGTGGAAGCATGTTTTTCATAAATTTATTTCAATTTTAACCACTATTATTTAGAAAATATATACATTGTTTTAGTGAACTCAGATTTCGAATTCAATTCAAGGCATAAAACCAATGCCATACATTTCTGCCCCGCAGTTTTTGTAATTTAAACTGTAGGTTGATAGGTTTTTTAGAGACCAATGAACTGGAAATTATATTCACGGAAGCGGCCGTGGCTTAAGTTAATTTACTGCCCTGACATCTGCCTTTAATGAGTTAAGAAAACTACGAAACTTTTCAGTAGCCCACACACAGCCTGTCTTAGAACCAAGAATTTAACACATTACCTTCCGAATACGAAGCTGTTCCTACCACTCGATCTCAACTTTCGGCCAAGTCGCATACACAACTACATTCACACACACACATATATAGTTGAAGATGACAGCCTTTTGTAATGTTGCGCCCTGTTGATAGAGACAGTTCGCACCTCTGAAACGTCGGTAAGCTTTTACGAGACTACACGTCGCAATATTCCAAGTGGCTGTCGTCGTCAAACATGCATTCGTAAGAACCTGGAATCTCACTTGGTTTAAATTGTTAATGTAATTAATAAATATTAAATTGTTTTCTATTGATCATTAAAACATATTGTCTTGATATTAGCATATATTTACTATATTGAGACTCGTGGACTTCTCCTTTGAGACATCCCGACCGAGAAAGACTATTCCGGCCAAGAAGGTGTCTGGTTAAAATAACCTAAACCGTGAAAATAGAAGGTCAGACATACAAATAACATTATTAGTTGACATTTAAAGAACCAAATTTATATGACACAAAATTTTCGAAATGACTTGTGTAATTTCAAGGCAGTTGGCTAACCGTTATCGTAATCGGAAGCGACTGAACTTTGTAACAGTAGTAAAATGCCACAGCTTTCACATGATATGCCCCCGCATTCTAATTCACGAAGCACAAATTACATGCAGTTTCAATGTTACCATGATTTAAATTTGTGACACTTCAGCTATAAAATATTCAAATTAAGTAATATGGCATCATGAAAATTTCTGAATTCCTTTCTGGAAAGAACTCCAATTATATGTGATCAGTCCTCCTCATCAACAACACGTGGCTTACATTTAGGTTTATCTAATAACTTACTCCTTGCAGGATAATTATGTATAAACAGCGAAAGTGGTTTTGAAAGGATTACTTGCATTGCTAAAGCCTCGTATACAGTGTGTACTACTTTAATTGACTTTATGATACTATGACTTAATACGGAATAAAATATATCTTCATGGCTTCTATAAACCTACGTCGTTATAGCCTTTTTTCTTACAGACAGGTGTACAAATAGGCTACAGTAAATCTAGACTTGTAGTCTACAAGGACATATTTTGGTGGGCAAGGGTACAATTGCGGTCTAGAACGCACTGCAATGTCATGTCTCTGCACCACACATGATAAATACCTCGTGACTATTTTGAGTTAGGTTCATTACTGTCCGACACTTATCGCTATGACACCAGGCACTCCAGGCTCACCGAGATTTTATGCAAATTTCCTTCAGTGTTACCTACATTTAAAGTAATGTTATTTGTGATTATAATATTCATGTAAATATTTCTCAAATATCCTACAGCGTAAATCTAAATGTCGCGCATAAATTACCGCCTACACCAACAAAAATTTAAATATATTATTTTACCCGGTCTATATACTTCTACCTTAGAATTTCATCTTCAGTCGTTCCCTGCGAAATTTCATTACTGGATGCAATAATTTCATTTTGGAACTAAATGAAATCATTTGCAAGCCTAACGCAACTATGTGGGGAAGGACTTAATACACTTACACCTAACACTTACGATACTGCAATGCTGAAACATATAGCCTGCCTGTAAAAATAGACATATTAACAAGACTGAACTTGTAAGTTGTAATTGATAGTAATTACTGAATTAATATTCAACAGTAATTCTTCAGTATTATCTATTAAAACATACAAAGAGAGTCCAGAGGAAAAACAAATACTTATAAGATAAGCCTATAGATCTATCTATGTACATAGGTCTACATTCTTTTTTGTCACTTTTGGAAGGTGGGGGCTAAAACACAATATTTCAGGAGTGGCTCTGCTTTGAAGCGGACGCAGCAGAAATATTTTCAGTGGTACCAGTAATCGAAATGAATATGTAACAGTGTAACACAAATTGTTATCACAAAACTTTAGGCTAATCTAATAATACTTGTCCAGACCAATAAAGAGACTGAATGAATTGACCATAAAGTTCCGTGCCTTGAGAACAAAGTCAGAACTGCTACAATGTCATTACAGAACTAGTGGTTACGAACGTGATAAAGGAATACGGCATCGTACTATTAAGGAGTCTTGAAAGATTGTGAAAGAGGGACAGTGAGTGAATTAGAGTTACTTAAAATGTAAATCTGACAAAGTTTTTAGAATCCTGCATGATTAGTCACTGTGTTAGGCTTGTTTTCTGAAGTAACTTCACCGTCAAAACACCTGCTGTAGTCATTTGCAAGCTAATAATTCTACACCAATATTTATTAATTTCGCTTAAGATAATTCAGAGAAAGAACACAAAATCGTGGTTAAAATTCTGAGAAGTCTTATTATATTCTACAGTCAAAAGGGAAGGGAACGAAAATAAAGTATGTTTGATATATGCAGCTCATTATCACAGTTCGCGTGAGAAATGTTCAGCAGTACAAATTCATATAAATTACTGTTCCTTAAGATCACTGAGACAATTTAAGAACTTAGAAACTCACCAGATCGGCGAGATAAGACTGTTACATCAACAAACCTCTTGACTGATGTAAGTTGGAACACTGAATGTCTCCACAGAAGCTGTAATGAAATGAAATTAAACATTTATATTAAAAGTTTAAAAATGCACACTTAAAAATTCCGACGGTGAAAGTAAAAGTAGTATTTATTCTTATCATCCGTCATATATATAGGCCTACACCCCTTTTTCGTTGCTAAATGGTATCGGAAATATTTCTCAGAAGTCAATAACAATACTGAACTTTTTTCAGTTTATTGTATTGAGTCTAAAGTCTGGCTGTCTACAGGTTGTTGCATGTTAAAAACCAGTATTTATTAATAAAATGAAATTTCTAATATACTTTATGACTGCTTGTAGTTGATATAGATGTGTAAAAGTGCTATCGAATATTTTTGAAAAAGCAGAACGTTGACAGATGTAAACGTAATTTTGTAGAAATTTGTTCTGCTGTTACACGGAGTTATAATACTTTTAACAACACTTATCAGAGTTATCTCAATTATTATAACTTAGTAAGGATTTAAATTAGCCATCTTACCTAATTAATTGGAAGATGTCAATAATTCACTCAGAGCTTTTCTAAATCTAAGAATTGGCTTACAGTATTAAACACCCGAGATAAAAACAATACTAGTACAGGGTCCACTGCAGATGTTTTGAGCTACAGTTATCCGATGTAGAGTGATTTTAAATATCACAGAATAAATGTAGTAATGTACACAGCAGGGGATCTGCGTGGACCTTGTGCCGCTTGGTCGCTGGGACCGTGGGTTCGAATCCCACTCAAACCATGGATGTTTGTCCGCTTTTTTCTGTGTTGTGCTGTCCTGTGTACAGGTAAAGGCCTTGCGACGGGCCGATCACTCGTACAAGGAGTCCTACCGAATGTCCATAGATCAAGCCAACGAAAAGTTGGAACCCGCAGTGCTCAGGCACTTGAAGAACAGGTCGTCCAAGTATCCAAGTAAGTATGTAAACAGCATTAAGAGTGCCGTAGTAACAGGTAATCTAAAACTAGGGCTCTTCTGCCCTAAATTAGTTGGCAGTGAAAACTACGCAGACTATTCTAGAGGCCGTCCGTAGCTGTATTTGATCAATCCAATACGTATCCCGACCCCAGCTGTGTTTAAATGTTCGTTTATAACTTTAATTTACTTGTAGTTATTATGTTTTGCATATTTATAACAAATTTAAATATTTTAATACTAGTAAGAATAAAATAATAAAGGAGTACAATAAATAAGCGAAATGTGAGAAAGCAAAGATTCGCTGAAATAACTCTTCAGTTTTACTGTTAATTTTGCCATGAGCCCTGTCTTCTTATTTTTTGTGCATTCGATTTTATAACTAACATTTTTCTTTTTCTTTAGACACTTTTCTCCTTCTCTTTAATAACAAAATAACAGTAGAAAGCCCAGCTAGATTTTTCGCACCAGACATGAAAGACCGAAACACGATCTACGATGCTTTATTTGACTTTCTATTCAACGATGCATTAAGCAGTGTGCACACCTTCTAGATCAATCAGGTTAGAATAGTTATGTAGTGAACTACGAACGGAAGAGTTACTCTAGTTGTTTCTAGAGTGTACTTTTGATGTAGTCTACACACGCACCTAGAGACCGTTATCTAGGTAATCAAGTTCTAACGATGTAGAATTTTAAGCCTTTCACAGCGGTGAGTATGAAGATTTCTGTCTTCTGGGTTGTTCCGCTGCGTAGTATGGCAGATGTTTACCAACGTTTCGGAGGTCGTACTGCCTCCGAAACATTGGTGGACATCTACCAGACTATATGGCGCAACAATATTCAACTTCTAACAAAACACAAACGGAAGAAGCATAACTGTAACATAGGCTACAATTAATTTTTAGATCTACGATATTAAAGAGTGTATTCGAAAATTAACATAAGCCTATCAAAAATTTCTTAGACTCGAGAGAAAAGCAGATTCTGATTTTCCGTTTCAGCTGGACACAAAGGTAAGAGAACAGGCACTTAAGTGCTTGTAGCACATCAAACATTTTATATTCGTTGTCAGACCAGTGATCTAAAAAATTAATGGCACAGGCAGGTTAGATTTAAAACTGTGTAACGATTTGGCAAGTAGAAGAGCAGAATATTCTCCAGCAGAATTGTTAGTGTAATAACAACGTCTTAAATTTATGCGGGTGAAAAGAAAAAAAGATTCAGCTAGTTTAATACGTGTAGAAGAGACAGCTACTGAGAACAAAAATACATTTTATGATACCTAAAGCCCCGTTAATGTAATTTATGTCGTTATTCGAGTTTGATTTTGTAACTATCCGATAAATTTAGACAGGGAGAAGAATAACACTGCATAGACTACTAAACTTAATCCCTTAATTAAGTGGATAACATTAAAATAGGCTACATTATATAAGTTCTCGCAGTAATACTTGTGCTCTGTAGAACAAAATGTATAAATAACGCACTCTAAAGTCGCTAGGGATTAATGAAGGCACAAGAATCCATAGCCATTTTTTTCTATCACGCTACGATTATAATGATACATACATTGTATGTTCGTTTCTAGAATGTATTTGTGCAGAAAATTACTAAAATTAAATAAAACTGCAGGAGCTCTTGTGTGTTTTTTCAAATAAACAAGGTAGAAAGGCAATATCAATGAGACTTTTTCGGTTCTTACGATTCTAAAATTCTGTGTTTAATAGAAATAATTAACTTTTGTTCGGAGTTGGGTAGAAGTATCAAAACTTTTTTTCCTAGCCAATAAAAGAGGTTGCCATAATTAAACACCAACCACCATTTTAAAATACCTAATTTATATAAATACATTACATGCATATCCAACTCACACTTCTTTGTGAATGCAGGCTAGATGACTAAATCAATAATATTACTGTTCACCGTCTATTACGCAACAGCTAAGTGTGTTTTACCACAACATAAATGTATTATTAAAGCATTGAAATGCATAATGTACTACATGTTTCGGCCATAATGGCCATCCTCAGGTGAGTAATAAACTGATTTTGTGGTAACTCACACATTGGATGTTGCGTGCTTGACGGTGAAAAGTATTATTGTCGATCATATAATACGCAACAGGAAGATTTGTCATAATTTCAATGAAGTGAAGTTCAGCGTTAGTTCAGTTTCGCCATTTCGTCCAGACCGGCTGTGCGGACCACTCAGCGTCGGATCTGACGTACGTGGTACCGGAGGCTTCTTGCCTCCCGAACGCGAAGATGGCCGCTCACTGGAAACGTATCTCACCTCCCACATACGTAAGAGAATATTTTAATTTTAACATATAGGCCACGTGTATGTCAACAAATTAATAATATGCAATAATTCCCTAATTTATATCAAAATTTAACTGATTAAAAAGTTGTTCATCTAGTTTCAAAGTATATTCTATATGTGGTTTGGAGCAGTGTAGGTAAAAATAAAAAAAATTAAAAAAGGGGACTTTTTAAGGAAATATTAGTGGTACAAAATTTTCAGCAAACGGTTTAATTAAATCATCGTGGTCCAACTGGCAGCCCGCGGCCACTGTAATCCGGCCCTCGAAAGTATTTCTTAATTTGTTACTAGTTAGTACAAACTCATTTATTTTCTTTACCCTTTCGGATTTGAAAACAATAATTGTGAATCTCATCTTGTCTGTTGCTTTACGTACAAGTGCCACATGTCGGTACGAGTGGTAGGCTGTCTCAAGAAGGCTTTGTGACATGAATAAACAGCTCGTGTCTCATATAAGAAAGGAAATGGAGAAAAGTGAGTATTTTTCTATTGCTCTCGATGAGAGCACGGACATATCTGACGTGAACCAGCTTTTGTTTTTGTGAGGACAGTTGGTGATACCTTTTCCATCAAAGACGAATTGCTTGAACAGTATCCGAAGTTTCGCAAATATGCATTAAAAGTGCGCTCGTTGTCTGGTAGCACATATATTTGTGAGTGCACTTTCTTCACCTAGAAGATGTTAAAAACGAAGCAGAAGAACAGGTTATCTGAGGATATGTTACAATCAACTCTTCGTTTAGCAACAACAAAAATAGGAATTGATATTCCGTCAATGGTAAAAGAAAATTCTGCTCAGTGCTCTCACTGAAGCCATTGACTTTAAGAGTATAAGATATACGTTCTACTAGTACAAAATGTTACTGTATCAGATACAAGCTGTTAAAGTAGCGGAGTTCAAATTATTTGTGTAAGATTTCCAGGTAAAAATTGCGAGAGATACAAACTGTTGCAGGGGCAAATTTAAAATAATATACAACTCTGTATTAGTTTATGCACATTTAAATAAAATTTATATTTTAACATATCCAATGGTAATTTGTCATTGCTGAATAAGTATTATTAAAAATAACGACAATGCAAAAATAGCGACAGTAGGGGTTTCTTGGCCCTTGGGTCCAACAGGAAAACTATTCTGGCCCGAGCGAGGAAAAAAGTTGGACCACCCTGACTTAAATTAAAGATGGGAAGATGTAGTAGGAAATTATAGGTGCTAGGTAGTTTCAAAATCTCGAGTAGGAAAAGAATAAATTATTAAGTGAACGTTTGAGTGACAGACAAAAATTTTGGATTTTAAATTTGAGCAAAAATTAAAAGCAAAATTGTTTCAAACAGAATTCGCATGTATTTGGCAGAATCCATAGGATCACGAGAAGGAAATATTACAAAACTCAATTTGGCTGTCTTCTGGGTTATAGCGCCGTGCAATCTGACAAAAATTTACCAAATTTTTAGATAACCTGCTGCCTTCATCATCGGGGAGATGATGATGGAGGCAGCCCCTAATTTTGGAGGCAGCAGGGAAGGATATCTAAATCGCTGGTAAACTTCAAATAGAATACATAGCCGTACAACCTACAAGACAACCTACTTCAAGCTCGCCACCGTGAGAACTTCAAATCCTACGTCTTATATAATTAAAGATGGATGTAACAGTAATGTAGGAAATCAATATGTGCTTTAAAATATAAGAGAATAAAGATCAGTAGTATTTTATGAGGAAATTAAACTGAATGGGACAACGAGTTATACGTGGACAGTTGCAGAAG